TTTCATAATATTAACTAAGTTGTTTTGTTCATATCACTAGCTTTTATATTAGAACACATGACATCACTAGTCCTTTTATAACCACAGTCGACTAACAGGTAAGCCTTCTCACGATTTCTAACCCCATTATACATAGTTTCTGAACATACATTTCTAACAAGTGCTGAAAGTGTTGGTTGCAATAGTTGTACACTCTCCTTTTCAAGTTTTGAGGTATACGCGACAAGACTTATCGTGATCCAGCCCAGCTAAGTCGGATCCGTCAATTGACCTTTCAGTCGACGTTGGACTTCTAGACTGACATCTTGTCCAAGTTAAACATATTCGTCACATCGTGTAATCCACCATTACGAATAGTAAGAACATCAACTACCCCCATAAAGTCAAAGGGGAAACAGGAACGGGAGATGGGCAGCAGCATTTTATATAATTATTATAATAATATCCTCCAGACCGAATTGCGGCGACGGCGGCCTGCCTCAACGGAGGCTAGCCATAGGCGCAGGACAGGATTATAGTGCCCAAGTGTATGCGCAAGCACAGGTGCACTCTCGTAATCCGATGGGACGGTAAACCGCCAACTTCCTGTCTCCGGGCAGCTACTGAGAATTTCTTGACAGAAAAACTAATTGATTTTTTGGCCCGACCCGGGATTCGAACCCAGGACCTCATAATCAGCAGTCGCACTACTACAACCACTAGACCAACGAGGCAGGCATAATTATTATAAGCTGCAATTATTATGTGCTACATAATTATTATAAAATATTATGCCGTATCTGCACGCTTGGCAAACCTCAAGATAGTGTATGGCTTGGTTTGCGTATGTTTGCAAGCGCTTGTAGCCAATCCGTGAGTGTGGTGTCACAAACGTTTGCAATGCTTTCACACGTCTGTGCCCACTCAGTTTCGTTTTTCCACTGGTGGCAAAAATATGTAAAATAATTTCAAAATTATATGGTACGGTATTTGAGAATTTTTAACATATTCTTTGTCGTATTTTTCGTTTTTTTTTTTCACTTGTTTTCTTCTATTTATAACAAAATAACTTCAGTGTTATGAAACGACACAACAACCTCAATGTCCGTCATGCTTGTCTCTTCAGAACAAACTTACGTACTCGCAAGGGTGTGAATAGCGACGTTTGATTCCCAAAATCAAGGCAACCGTTTGTAGAGATTTAGCCAGTGCCAAGCGTGCGTATGCGGCATTTTGAGCTGGCTTTACATGTTGGCCGAGCGAAGGCGAGCACCAACGTATAGACAGCCCATTTATCCAGCCTCGCCATTGCTCGTCGACGCTCGCCTAGCTGGCCGAGTGCGGGCGAGCACCAACCGACGTATATTACTTGTATACGTTGGCGCTCGCTGGTTCGTTTAGCGCGCCTTACCGCCAATCAGGATCGCTCGCTACGACTCATCCACTTCGGAATCGGAACAGTATCGGTTTTTCTGCACAAAGGCGCTCGCCTGCACTCGGCAAATCGCGTCCACGTATTAGTCGGATGTCAGTTACAGCTTGGCGTCCGTCCTGGTGAGATATGGTTTTAAATATAATGCTCAGCATCCACCTTCTATTCTGCCTCTTCTTTTTAATAACTTTACTGCGGAGTACATTGACATAATAATTAAATGCACTCATTAAATAAATAGCATAAGCCAGTGGCGTAGCGTGGGTCTTCGCCCGCCGGGGCCACCCGGAAAGTCACCCCCCCCCCCCCCCACTTTTATTATTTTAATTTAAAGTTTAAATATTTTATTCAACGAAATGAATATACATCGTACAGCTTATTGAAAGTCAATATAAACTTACCCTGATTCGAAAGGAACACATCTATGGGAAGAAATGGCGCAACAATTTTGAAGCGACAGTAGCCTAATGGCAGGGCGCGGACCGCGAACTCAAAAAGGTCGTGGGTTCGAATCCGCCATTCGACTACTGGCGTGAACCACTCGTAACACAAGCAATTTAAGCTTACCACAAGTGGTTAAGGGGAATATTAGTAATATTTATAGCATTGTTAATATTCTTTTTTAAAAAAAGAAATAAAAAATAAATAGATAAAGAAACCAACAGGACGTTTATCTTTTAAAATGTCAAATTGTTTACAAGGCATAACTTTATTAACTTAACACTAGGTACATACACCAATGAATAATAATAATAATGAACAATTGGATTTTAAATTATACATAGTGCAACACTTAGCAACCTTTACAGGTATTGCAAAAAACATAGTTATAGTTAAGAATGACACCCATCATTTTATTTCTTTACTCCTAAATCAGATCGAATAAAAAACTAAAAGTAACTTGATTAGTAAATTACCTGTAGTATCACCCAACAATAATTTATATCAACTTGAATGAAATAAAACATTTATGTAAGAGGGTGCCTAGTATTATTGTTTATGTCACTATTAGTTTTAAAATTAGATTGAAAATGTTCTTTTCGTGTTTTTTTCGAAGCAAAATCTTAACACAATCTTCAATATCAAAATGTATGTCATGTTCCATTTCTAGAATAGCTAAATTTCGTTGTCGCAGCGTTGACGCGGTTCATATCAGATAACTTTTTATTAACTTTAGTTTAAAAAAATTTCTCTCGCAACTTGCATTACTAACGACAGATGTTAAAAAACCCTCAGCATTATAACACTTCAAGTTTGGACACAATTACGTATTTTAATGAACTCAGAAAGCCGGACTTAATAAGACCTTTTTACAGTCTGGATCTGTTGTACGCACGTAGACGTGCGCGCTCCTATTGGAACTCTTCTGTATTTATGTCCCAACAAGTTAAATTCTTCCAGCCCAATAATTACTACAGGCATTAAAAAGGCATATTTTTGCGCTAGATTTTGCAGCTGTTGGAATCGATCATGAATTTCAGCAGTTACTCTGTCTACTGAAGTAAACATTGTTTGCACTAATTCCGTGACGGAATTGGTGCACGCAATTGAAGGAGGGCGGGAGGTGCTCTTCAATCCAGGTAAGACACATCATTGTATTTAGTTAGCGGAAGGTTGCAAATTAATTAGTATTTTTATTAAGTCCAACTTTAACCAAGCGGTCAATCGACGGATTCAATGCGTATGGGCAGCATTCAGGAGATTACGACACATCTTCTCGTCAGGCATACATTAAAAACTTAAAGCGAGATTGTGCAAACAGTGTGTGTTGGTAGTGATGACCTATAGATCTGAGACATGGTTTTTCACCGCTGGTCATATTAAGCTCAAGGTCTCTCAGCGACCTATGGAGAGGGCTATGCTCGGAGTTTCTTTCCATGATAGCCTTCTAAACGAGGATAACCGCAGCAGAACCAGAGCAACCGACATAGCTCGACGGATTAGTAAGCTGAAGTTAATGGGCCGGCCATATAGCTCGGAGCACCGACAAAAGATGGGGAAGAAAGGACACGTTTTAGTAGCAGATGGTGCTTTTGCACTCAGTACACATTATGAAGCCCTATCCTGGAAATCATAACATCAGTTCACTAAAAATAATATTTAATCAGAATTTGTCTAGATCCCGGGTTGTAGTGGAAAACACGTTTGGAATTATAACTTCAGTATTTAGAATTTTTCGAAGACCTATTAATTGAGATTCAAATATTGTAACAGAAATTACGATGACCTGTGTTTTACTCCATAATTTTTTAGAAAAAGTAAGTTCTTCCGATATTAAGTACCTGAAAACGTCTGGTACATGGCGGAATAACATAAACAACAAAAAAAATAAGAGAAGAATTTACTTCATATTTTTCAGAAGTATAAATACTTGAGTTACAACTTATTGGTATTAGGAATGCTAAAAATTTACTTTTATTTTAGATTTTTTTAGTTCTTTTTTAATTTACTAACAGTCTGTTACGTATATTAATGTGCAAGTTACTGATTGTTTAATGTACAAATATTTATATAAAAATAGATAAACTATTATACTATATTCTATTAACTTATTACTATGAAGTTTTATTTTTACTTATCGTTTCTGAATTTACACTTATATTGCTGGTATAAATTGGTAGCAGAAAAAAATTCCACAAATGGATACGCTAACCACGTAAGTTCATAAATGTCACCGACACCTGAGGGCAAAAAATAAAACTTAGGACCGTTCAAATAGATTAGAATCGTTACCAACATTAAAAATTCATGGAATTACGAGGGACAGTTTATCATAACGCACATTGAGAAGAAGAACGTCACTAAACAAAACTAAGGTAATTTTACATTAAAACGCCATCTTTTTATTCAAAAAACAATCTCTGTATTGCAAAGACTCGTTTTGTCGTAGTTCCTCTAATTGTGGCTAGATAGCGTAGTGACGTTATGGTTTTCTGGCGGGGCGGCACGCTTTAGGACAAGAAAGAGCGGCATTTTTTTAGTAGTGACAGAGACACGACGCGTATCACTACAGGGCCTACGAAGAATAACGTTGTTGTTTGGATAGTGTCGTTGTGTAGTAAAACTTTTTGGTAAGTTTTTAAGATTGCTTGAAGTAATAACGTCTTTATATGAATAGTGTCGATATTCTATCAATTTAGTACACCACAAAGTGTCGAAATACAAAGTTACATAGTGTCATTTTGAGTATAAATACATTATTGTTTTAATATTGATATGTTTTTTTAAAATCTTTATGACATTTTGCATTAAATGTCAGTATTCATATAATACCAAACTAGAAATTAAGTTTTTGATTGAAAGTAAAGGAGTCATATTTCGTTTAGTGCCTACAATTAAGTAGCAAATAGTATAAAATTAGTTGTTGTACTTTTTTGAAGATTGTCGTTTTAAATTGAAGTTTATTTTATTTAAGTTAGTTTTTTTGTAAAAAAAAAACAGTATCATATCGACATATTGCTGGAAGCAACAGTTATTCACGTCATCATTTGAAGATAATACAAAAAACTTTAAGACATAAAGCCACATTTTGTTTAACTACACAATATTGATATGGTTTTAATGTTTTTTCTCTTCTATTTCAGTCAAAATGTCACTACCAAATTCCAGAAGTCTAGCATTAAAAGAAATTATTAAAGATCTCCAAAAAAATAGTTCGACAAATATCGAAGTAGAAAAAGAAAATTTATTACCAGTAAGCCCAACCGACCAGAAAGAACCGATAGAAAATCAAGTTGTACCTTCTACTTCAAAAAGAAACATACCTTTAAATGAACGTGCTTATAATGTACACCAAAGTTTACGTGATAAAGGATCGTCCTACTCTTCCGATCAAAAGTCTGATCAAGATTTTTCGCCTGCTTCCGATGATGATAGGGAGTATATACCCCCATCTATAGCTTACAGTTCGCCTTCAGACGATGATTCCAAGCGACAAAATAAATAAAAACAAAATAAAACTTACAACCATCAGCCAATCAAATCCGTGGAAGAAACAAAGCAACCAATTAAATCCGACTCGTCAAGATCAACTTCTGTGTCGTCGTCTTCTAATACTTCGAAATCCAACTCTAACACCAGCTCCGATTCCAGCTCCGATTCCAGCTCAGATTCTAGTTCAGATTCTTCTAGCTCAGATTCCGAGTCTGATTCCTCAAAATGTAAAAAAAATAGTAATTTTGTTCCTTCACCAGCTAAATTAAAACGCTATAGTTCTCCGGTTGTAAATACTTACCCCCCTCAACCAAAAACTTCATCAAACTCAATGCGAAAATTCTGTATCATCAGATTCAGAAGATTACACATCTCATTTTAAGGAAGTTTCTTCCATAAAATCAAATATTAATACAAATAACATTTCTGGACACATCCCTCTTTCTGAAAATTTACTTAACATCAGTCCAAGTGCTTTAAATTTATCTACAGAAATTTCAACGGATGTCCGAAAATTCCATAACTCGAATGAACCGTTACCACTAAAAGTTCTTGCACAGAAAATTGTCACCTCATTAATTACACATCAACAATCTTATTTGTCTGCTTCTCGTTCAGCGGAGTGCCAAAATTCTAACTCTTCTCCTAAAAAGACACGCAAAAGAAAACGAGGAATAAACAAAAAAGCCTTGGCAAAAACATTGCGCAATTTAGGGCAATCATATACATCTACCTCAAATGTTGTTAAATCTTGTAGAAAAATAGGAAATCCTTGCGGTGATGGTTGCCGACAAAAATGTAAGGAGAGGATTTCGGAGGAACAGCGTCAAATTATTTTTAAACGATACTGGAGCATGGGATCTCTAGTTAAACAAAGAGAATTTATATCCAGACATATTAGGGAAATCAAGCCTAAATACCAATACAAAAAAATTGATAGCAATAGAAAACCTAAACATTCTTTTTATTTCACTATAGATGGGGAAAAAATTAAAGTTTGCAAAGTCTTTTTCAAAAATACATTGGGATTAAATGACAGACCTATTCGCACCGTGATTGAAAAATTGAATTCGTCAGGAATCGTTGAACCAGAACTTCGAGGTAAACATAACAAACATCGTCAAGTACCAGTGGAATTGTTAGATGGAGTCCGACAGCACATAAATAGCATACCTAGAATCGAAAGTCATTTATTAAGGAAACAAACAAGCAGAGAATATATTGATGGAGGAAAAACACTAACCGATTTACACACAGACTATAAAAATGATTGCGAAAAGAACGGACTGCCATATGTTAAAATCCACACGTACCGAAAATTTTTTAAAGAAGAATTTAATATTAGTTTTTATATTCCGAAGAAAGACCAATGTGGAGACTGCATTAAATATCAAAATTCACAACCTTCAGAAAAGGAAAAGCTCGAAGAAGAACACAGAATTCATTTACAAGAAAAAGAAAAAAGCCGAGTAGAAAAATTGAAAGATAAGGAAGCCGTAAGCGAAAAAAACATAGTAGCCTGTTACGATTTACAAGCTGTTCTACAAGTACCTAAAGGTAATGCGAGTCAGTTTTATTATAGATCCCGATTGAATTGTTTAAATTTTACAATTTGTGAATTGGCAAAGGATCATACTGAATGTTTCTTTTGGACTGAGGTTGAAGGAGACAGAGGTGCCAATGAAATAGGCTCTTGTGTTTTAAAGTATTTACAAGATAAAACAGCAGCTGCATCTGAGGCATTAGATTTCATTTTTTACAGTGACAATTGTGGTGGGCAGCAGAAAAACCAGTTTGTATTTTCTATGTACATTTATGCAGTTAAGAATCTCGATAAAATTCGGTCAATAACGGATAAATTCTTGATAAAAGGGCATACTGAGAACGAAGGAGATACTGCACATTTCACGATTGAAAAACAAATTAAAAAGAATCTACGGTCAGGACCAATTTATGTTCCAGACCAGTATGTAAGTGCTATAAGAGATGCAAAAAAAAGGGGAAATAAATATATAGTAAAGGAAATGAGTCATTACGAATTTTATGACATAAAGAGCCTACAAGAATATAAACTTGTGAAAAATAAAGAAGGAGAAAAGGTTAAGTCTAGTGATATTAAAGTTTTAAAAGTTGAAATGTCGGAAAATGTGTCTGATGGCATAAAAGTTTTTTTTTATAAAACTTCTTATTTACAAGATGCATTTAAAGAAATAAATTTGCAAAAGTTAAGCCGGGCCAGACCTCAATTAAAACAATTATATTCATCAAGAATACCTTTATCTGCTGCTAAAAAAGCCGACCTAAAGAAACTTATTAGCAAGCGTGCTATTCCACTTTACTATGCTTCTTCTTTCTACAATTTTATTCTTAATTGATCTCAATTTTTAACTGATCTCATGTTATTTGATTTGCTATGTAACTTGTTATACTTTATTTTGCTACACATTTATGCCTTAATTATGTTCTAACAGTAAATGTTCTTTAGTTTGACTATTGATTTTTATAGATTTTATAAAAAATGTTTTGGTACTCAATTATTATTTTTAGTTTTTAGATTGGTAGTTTAGTACTTGATCTATAATGTTCCTAATACTTAAGTAAAATAATATTAATATTCTAATAAATAACGACAGATTAATGATTATTTACTACGGAGACTGATTTGGTAAGCTTACAATTAGAATAATTATTCATAAAATTAGTCACCATTACTATTGATAGTAATAGTTAACACTCCCAAAGATAACTGTCAGACAATAAAAAATACATAACTATGTATTCCTTTGTTTTATTTTTCGATATTTCGCAACTAATTTGAAATTAGTAATGTAATTTTAAAAAAATTACATCGCTTTTGTGACTCTTATGACTACAACTTGTCACTGGTTCTGCAGTAATAATAAAAAGAAGAATGACACTAAACAAATTTTTATAAAAAAATCAACATTACAAGTCAAAGAAATTAATAATAAAAAGTAAATTATAATATTAAAATAGTTTTCTATTATTTTTAGTGAAAACAGCATCAAAAAATAGTTTCGAAGTCAAAAACTGCAATGGTGTCATTTTTTCATACTTTAAATGCTTATTCCTCAAAACTACATTTTTTGTTTAGTGACGTTCTTCTTCTCAATGTGCGATAAGTCAGCCATTCTCTGTGTGAGGGAGAGGGCTGTAATCCACCATACGGGTCCAGTACGGGTTGGTAGATGTCACATGTCTTCGAATTTTTGGTTTAGGACATGATGATTTCCTAACGATGTTTTCCTTCACTGTTTTGAGTGGTGATGAAATAAATTACACAAAGTAATGCGCCTGGCTGGGTTCGAACGGTCAGTTACTATAAGTATATACGTAAAAAAAAATATAGACTGCCTGTCCTTGAAAATTTGTAGAATATATAGCGGCGCTGCCGCCGGTGAGTAGTGGATGCAAAGTTAGCTGTTTATGAGTACAAGATGAAGTTAGTTGAATGATCTTTAAATTTTCTTCGCGGCGTTGGTGAGAAAATTTTCATGCTCCATAATTTTTAAATTTTTGCCAAAAAGAAACATTAAAAAACGGAGAAATATTTCATTGTGCGTAGATGTTCAAACAGTTTAGCATCTGATCAGAAAAATGGACTGAAAATGACTTTTATTGATCAAATTTAGCGATCGCAGTGCCTCACATAGGTATGGTGTCCATATTTCTGGGACACTATTTTCTACGGCGATCGTTTTCCTGTTCTCAAACCTCCATGGTTATGTTCTCTAACTTCTATGGTTGATTGTCGATATCTTAGTCTAAGTTTTTTTTTGGCGGGAAATTGGTCGTAGACGGATTGTCGCTCCTGTTTTGTCGCTTAAATAATGGTTTGAAGTGGATTTTGATTCGTAAAAGTGATGAGATTTTGTGAATTAAGTGTCCGCGCGTGTGAACTATTAGAGAAAACGACGAAACAAGTGCTTTAATGTCGATTTAAACCTCAAGTTCTTTTGATCGCATGGGCGCTTTATGAACTTGAGTGGCTGTCGTCATCAACTGTCCACTAGGTTGAGCTGTCGTCAAAATCTCCCAAGGGCTTCGCAATGTGACGCATCAGCATATTGTGAAGAAAAAGAACATAAAATGAAGATTCCAAAAGAAAGGATAGGCTCAGAAGGTCTAGAAACCAGAGCCGTAAAGCCAGTTAATAAAGAAAACTTAGTCTAAGTCTATGTCTATGGTTAATAGTTGTTGAGTTGACAGTTGACACAAGACCAAAACTAGCTTGCTACATCAGTGTTGCCATATATACAGATTTCCCCGTATTCATACAGATTTTCGGTGTGTGATACAGATTAGCACTGGATACAGATTTTTATACAGAGTTTTCTAACTCTATTGATTGGATTACCATAATATTCAACTTAAAACAGAATGAAGCAAAATAAGTGACTAGATACCGCGTTACACACATCATTGCATGATTCTATTCTTTATGGTTAATTTATTTTTTCACAACGTAATTAGTTTGGCAGAATTAGAAGAGTATTATAAAATATGTGTGAATAATGCATATATAAAATATGTATGGCTTAAAATAATAAAGTAATTATATGTTCATTTGGCAAATGTTTGAGTTTTAATATGTTGTTTGCTTAAATTAATGTTTTCAATTTTGCTATATAAAAATTTAGTATATAGTGTATAATTTTATACGTGGTAGAGTCACGTTGCAGCTATATTATGGTTGCAGCACGAATGGGTCAGCTCGACCGGGGAAGGACCATGCTCTCACAGAATACCAGCGTAAAATACCAGGTTAATGCTGTGTTTCGTATGGTGAAAGTAGAAATCCGGAGACCCTTTTTTACTGGAAATGAGGCATCCCCTCTTAGTCCTCAGGCGTGACAACGTATCTGAGTTTTAATTCTTAAGCGAGGATAAATGTGCATGTCTATGGGCCACAGAATCCACTTACTATCGGTGGACTGTGTGCTCGTTTGTCACCCTTATTATATAAAAATATTTTCATTTAATAACGATAAT